AGGGAGAGAGAATCTCAAGCAGATTCCATACTGAGCCCAGAGCCCAACATGGAGCTCGATCCCATGACCCTGAGATGGTGACATGAGCCGAAATCAAGAGTCGAGGGCTTAACCGACTGAGCCACCCAGGTACCCCAGGAAAGCCCAGATTTCTTAAAGGAAAAGATAACATTGACTGTAGGCTTTCATTTAAAGGAAATTTGGATCAACTCACCAAAAGGACTTATGTGAGATCCAACCTGAGGGCCAGCAGTCAGATCCCAGGTCAACAATCTCTCTCCACTGTGACCCTGAAAGTGGAGGTGGCGCATCTGAGAGGTCTGAGTTCCCCTTGCAGAGGACAGAAGGATGTAATGAGCCTCGGTACTAGACAGAGAGGATCTGAGTGATGCTTTCCCTGGTGGAGCCATGCTAAGCGTCTGGCCATTGGCAGCAGTAAGTAGGAGAAGAAGGCACTGAAATGACAGCGGTGGTGGCAACAACAAACTGTTAAGTAATGACAAATTCTGTACAGACGTTGACTTACTGTAAATACTGAGGAAAGAGAAAAATTAATTGCTTCTCCCTCTCCCTGCTACTCCTCCTGACTGGGCTCACTCTCTATCTCTATGGCAAATAAATAAATAAAATCTTTAAAAAAAATAAAGATAGAATTTAGAGATCGTCCATTTATCCCTCCCTCCCACTCAGAAACTTCAATCACTGTCACTTCTACTAAATCAGAATTAAAACTGAACTTTTGACTCTTGAAGAAACAGTATCAACAGTGGTAATAATAATAATATTACAATTCTATTAGGGCTCAGTATGTGCTTTGAATAGGGTAACCATATAATTTACTGTCTGAATTGCGACACTTTTGAGAGTGAAATTATTATTTATTATGCCAAGAAAGCGGGCATAATTAGGGATGGTCCTGGGCAATCGTATGGTTTCATAGCTATGAACCAATTTCTCACTATTACCTCACATGACAGAGGGCTAAGGGAGCTCTCTGTGGTCTCTCTTGTAAGGGCACTAATCCCATTCACGAGTGCTCCACCCTCATGACCTAATCACCTCCCAAAGGCCTCACCTCCAAATACCATCCCATTGAGAATTAGGTTTTAATATACAAATTGGGGGTGGGGGTGGGGAAACAAACATTCAGTCTATAGCATCTTAGAGTAAGGGATTTAATTATCCCTAATTTACAGATAAAGAAACAAATTACAGAAAGTGATATACTACTGATCTTTAAAATCATAATGCAGGACTTTTGTGTATTCATTTGAATTCCTCCAGAAAAATGCCAGTCAGTGTTGCAGGACTAATTAAAAAGGTGAACTGATTCCACAGCCCCGTCCAAATACACTCCAGTATCTATGCATTTAAATTCTCTTTTATTAGTGCTTTGCCAATCATCCAGCCTGTGTGTTTTATAGATGATGAAACCGAGGTCCAGAGAGGTGAAAAAATTTTCCTGAACATAGCATACGGGTCTTGAAGCTGCAACTAATACATATGGTCTCTTCACTCTACTGGCTCTATTCAAATTCTCAAGAGCAGTTTATGAAAATGAATATCCCATTGTATGTGCATAAAGAAACGACAGCTGTGATGTGTGTCAAACTACTTGAGAAAAATTTTGAGAGATTGACATCACATTTTAATCTGTGTAATGAAGATAAATGCTGCAACTGTGATTTAATGTATAGGAAATGAGGTCTCTCAGTAATGGGTCACAGACTCATTCTACACTGGGTAACTGTCTCCATGACATAGAGGACAACAGAGATAATGCAGACATTCCCAGAGCCCCACTCGGGGTTTGAACTCACGACCAGAGATCATGACCTGAGCCAAAATCAAGAGTGGGATGCTTAACTGACTGAGACACCTGGGCATCCCAGTGCCCTGTTGTTTTTCCTCTGCTTCTGTGATTATGACAGCGTGTGTCAAGATGAAGCCTGTGTCAGCCTGTTTTTCCAAGTGACTACAGTGGGCAGAGCCCCTTGGCTGGACCAGGATAGACATGTAGGAGAAATGAGAAACTTTAAACTACTGAAATTTTGAGTTTGTTTGTTACTGCAGCACAACCTAGACTATCCTACCTGATCCACAGTCTACTTATTCTCTCTGCTAGTTTGGAATTCATACCTTGTGTTTCCATTCTTTTCATTGTTTACCCTAGAAATTCTCAAATGCACAGTAAACATAGAAAAGTTTAATCAATACCTTTTAGTCATCTCTTGAACACTTGGCAATTCACATCACTTCCGAATTATGTTCCTGATGTATAGCTTAATTTTAACTTCTTAATTCAATAAGACATTATTGCTTTATAGAGTCAAAACACTTTTTTATTTGCTCACATGTTTATCATCACCTTTTTAAAAATTCTTTCCTGAATTTCAGACTTCTATTGAGTAGCTTTTCTCTCTCACCTGAAATGCATGCTTAGAAATTTTTTTAATGAAGGACTGCTGGTTGTAAACTCCATTAGGTTTTGTTTTATTTTATTGTTTTGTCTGCAAATGCCTTATTTTACCTTCATTTTTAAGTGACAGGATAAATAATTCTAGGTCGGTGTGTTGAGAAATCAGAACTAGTGTATTCAATTAAGATTATGACCTGCTGAAGAGGAGACACAAGACATCCACATGGCCAGGTTACTCCCTCAACATTCCAGCTGCCACTCTGGAGAAATGAAAAGCCCAGGGTGCAGTTTCAGGACATGTACATAAAAGCAAAGTCATAAGATTTGTTACTTACATTCCCAGAAATGGGGAGATGGAGAGTTGCGGGGAGAGGATGGGTCAATGGTATAATGAACCAGGGGAAGGGGCAGTCCTCAGGAGTCAGCAGGAGATAGAGAGCAAGGTAACAAGTACCTATCCCTTCAAAGGTGGTTGGTGTGGAGGTCACTAACTTTTCACTGGCTCAGCTCTAAGTGGCTATTTTATTTTTGAGAGGTGAGGGGGAGGGGCAGAGGGAGGAAGACAGAGAATCTTAAGCAGACTCCTCGCTGAGCGAGGAGCCTGATGCTGGGCTGGATCCCAAGACCCTGAGATCATGACCTGAGCTGAAATCAAGAGCTGGATGCCTAAACCATTGAGCCACCCAGGCGTCTCTCAGAGATTCTCTTACCTGAATAAAGGCAGATTCTTCTGAGAGTGAAACTGCCCTAAATCCCCACTGGGGGAGTTTTATAGCCTGGAAGAAGACAGACCACTCACACCTGCATAAACAAACATTATCACAAACTGTCTTACTTCCCACTTGTTCCCTAAAAGCTTGTTTATCTCTCCCAAAAACACAAAAACAAGACCCCATTTATTTCCTACAGAGCCCCCTTCCCTCCCTTTCTTCCCCTGTGAAGTTAATATAGAAACCCTTATCCCTTGCTGTTCAGGGAGCCACTTCTTTTTTGCTCCAACACAGGCACAGGAATAACATTGTCTATTTTCCTGTTAATCTGTCTTTTTTTGGTCAGTGACTTTGCAGGCTTTCTGACATGAACCTAAGTGGTTAGGAAAAGTTTTCCTCCCAACGCCACTCCAGATGATATGAGTGCTATGTAAGGACTAAGAGAGACCAAACCTGGGTGGAGGGTAGGGTGTTGGACAAATTACAGGAACATGAAAGTAAAAGCTCACACCATACCACATCTTCCTCAGCCCCACTTGCACTTTCCAATTCATATGCATTAGCAAATCATGCTGACTTGACTAAAGATTTCTTGGATATCATGTGACAACATAATAAAAACACTTCCCTTTAAAGAATTCTGTTCTTTCCACTAAGGTCCCTCTCTTCTCTCCTCTTCCCCTTTCTTCCCCTCCCCAGGGTTTCAAAACTGCCTACTTTTTCAGTTCAGGTTTTTCGCAAAACAAAAGCCTGGGAAGTCCTTTACTTCACTCCTACTTTTTAAGGAAGTCAGAGATGGCTCAGTGTCAATGAAACAGATTCTTTATGGAGGATCTCAGCACCACCCTATGTGAGCCATCACTAGAGATAGCATTTATCATACTTTCCAAGGACCTCTCCAAGCCCTCTGTACATCTTACCTTATTTTGTCCTCATAATAAATCTAAGACGTACATATCATCACCTTCATTTCAGGGATGAGGAAACTGAGGAACAGGGAAAGAAATTCAGTTCTATAACTTGCCCAGCTCTTCAGATGCTAGATCAAAATTTGGACTGAGACCATCTAAATCCAGAGCATGGAGAGAATTGTGATTATTCTCACTCCAGAGGAATTGAAATTGTCACCCAGCAAAGACAGGTCTCTTCGTAGGAGGTGTAAAATTGTATAAAATTTCTGGACATGACAGGCTCCACTTGAAGCTCCATTTCCCCTTCTAATGAACTTTTGAACTGAGCAAAAAGACCTTTTGAACGGGGCCAGACACAGTAATTGTTTTACAAGCTGTTGCATATAAAGTCAACGGAACACCTGGCATCTGGATCATAAAACTGCCAGTGTGGCCTTTGATGACAGATAATTAATTCATGCAGATCAGGAATCGTGTGGTGTGATAACACCAATACGTTAGTCAATCCAAGTGTAAATCAGCAGGGCTTAATCTCTCAGTGCCTTCTCCTCCCTGATTCAGGTCAGGTACTTGCCCCCCTGTCCGTCTTTTTCCCGAACACCCTGCTTTTCCTGTGTAGGAGGACGCTTTTCTGGGCATTCTGGAATCTGTGCTCCAAAAAAAAATGCAATCCTGAGACTCCCCAGTAAAGGCTTTTGTTCTTTTTCAGTTTTGCCTCTGTTTGTTGGTAGACAGAGGGAATTCTGCTGCTAAGAAATATGATGTTTTCCATTTTTTCTCCAAAAGGGATTTGAGTGTTTTTGGTTTTGTTTTTTTTTTTAAGTAGGTTCCAATCCCAACATGGGGCTCAAACCTGCAACCGTGAGATCAAGAGTCCCATGCTCTAGTGACTGAGCCATCCTGACATCCTTTGGGGGTTTGGTTTGGCTTTAGTTCCTCTCTTCAACTCTCACCTTCCAGGAGCAGTTGCTGTGGCCAAGAACTGCTACACACCCACCTTCCACACCCAGGAGAGCTGAAGTGGTCAGCACTGGGCAAGGTCGCATGTCTCCTCCTCCTTCCTGCCTGGGCACTGTCCCACCGGATCCCAGATCCGCGCTGCCTTCCAGCCTCACCCCCCTCCCCACAGAAGAGGTGCTGTTGGAATTCCAGCCGCGCCAGGACTCCTGGGGAGAGAGAGAAGACCTCCCTTTCCCTGCTGCTCTGGTGATCACACGTTTATGTGTCCTTTGCAAACCTCCAAGCATATTTGGTGAAAATGCCCCCCCCGCCCCGAGATGATGAGGGCTTTGCTGGGCTTCAGGCATCAGCACTGTAGTGGCTTTCTCTGCTGCTCCTTGTGAACCACCAGACAGATGAGATTGACCTGGTACGGTTCCTATAGGCCAAGACTCACCCTTCCCAGCAGTCCTGAAAAAAGAGTGGCGTGGATGATTCCCTACAATGTCCCTTCCTCACAAGGTCCTTGGTTCCCTCTAAAGTGAAACCAAGATCCTCCTCCCACCTATCTTTTCTTGGAAGCCAAGCCCCTTTGTCATCTGTATAAGACTCCCTCCCCAGGGATCCAGGGATCACAGGGACTGGCCTTCTGCTCTGTCCTAGAGACCAAGCTAGAGACCCAGGTCAGTGGCTGAAGAGGTGGTCTCACCACCTCCTCAGCCTCGTATGCATTGGATTGGGGGGACCAGGGTGGGTGAGGTTAGCACCTGAGAAAACTGGGGCTGGGCCAATATGGGGATGGAGCATGTGGGCTGCAGGGAACCAGTGGTGCTGGGGGAGGGAAGCATCTCTCTTGGAAATACAATGGCATCCCTTTACGATGCTAGTGTTAGGCACTGGGCTGTTTCCCTTGTGTTGGAGGACAACAGGCCTCTGTCCGTCATGATCCTGGAGGTCATGGTGGTATTTCAGGGATGCAGTTCAGCTCATGGTTTATTCAAAAGGATTTTCTAATGAGCGGCTTGAGCACTGGGTATAAATGTATTTATTTTTCAAATGTATTTTATTTATTGTTTTAAAGAATTTATTTATTCATTTGACAGAGAGTGAGAGAGAGCACGGCAGGGGGAGCAGCAGTGGGAGAGGGAGAAGCAGGCTCCCCGCGGAGCAGGGAGCCCGATGCGGGGCTCTATCCCAGGACCCTGGGATCATGACCTGAGCCCAAGCCAGACACTTGACAGACTGAGCCACCCAGACACCCCCTCAAATGTATTTTAAATTAAAAAAATCTCTAGTATTCAGACACAGGACTGCAAGATTTTAGTTCACTGTCAAGGTAACCACCCAGAGGCAAAGATCACCTCTCTCTAGCTAGCAGGAGCTAAATGCTCTTGGAGAAGAGTGTATGTGAGTATATCATTACTTGGAAAATTGCGCAGGAGGAGGGATATCTTTCTGGCTGACCCAAAGGGAGACTGTGAGCCAGGGAGGCCACAGGTAGGAGCTGGGGTTCTTTCTAAGGCAATGCTTTTTCTCTTCTCTCCCTTTCCTGGCTAGGCTCTTCCACAGGAGTGAGACCACCATGGCTCAGGAGAAGTTCTTCAGCCTGTTCCCCCTCCTGGTCCTGGTGCTGCTGGTGCTGGGCTGTGTCCAGCCTTCTCTGGGCAAGGAATCAAGGGCCAAGAAGTTCCAGCAGCAGCACATGGACCCGGACACCTCCGCCATCAGCTCTGGCTATTGCAACCAAATGATGAAGCGCCGGAATATGACAGATGGATGGTGCAAGCCGGTGAACACCTTTGTCCACGAGCCTCTGCCAGATGTCCAGGCCGTCTGCCTCCAGGGAAATGTCGTCTGCAAGAATGGGCAGCCCAGCTGCCACCAAAGCAGCTCCAGGATGCACATCACTGACTGCCGCCTGAGGAATGGCTCCAAATACCCCAAATGCCAATATCAGACCATGCAGAAAGAGAAATCCATCATCGTGGCCTGTGAGGGGGACCCGTATGTGCCAGTCCACTTTGACGCTTCTGTGTAGGTCTCCACCTGAGGCCAGAGCAGCGAGATGCCCCACCTCCCTATGGTAGCACCTGCTTCTCTCCTCTCCCTTCCTTGCTCTGAGGGAAAGAACTCCAGTCAGAGCTCCTATCCAAAACACATGCTTCCCTGCCCAGGGCTTGCCCCTTCGTGGTTTGGAGGGTGAGGTGGGCCCCGTGTGAACCACTTCACTGCTTCTTTCAATAAAACACAGTTGCAACCACCTGGATTTCTGAAGCTCTCGCCGTCCTGATACTGTCTGTGTGATTGCTTTCCTGCTGGGAGTGAGAACTACAAATCTGGTTAGCTTGGGTAAGCATGGAATAGAATCATTACATGCCTCTGCTTCTGACTCGGTTTTCAGTGACCTGAGATCATTCCTTTCCTTGGAGATTCCGTGCTGCCAAATGTTAAGCTGTTAAGTATGGGCTATTTGAGGGGCACCTGGGTGGCTCAGTCGTTAAGCATCTGCCTTCGGCTCAGGTCATGATCTCAGGGTCCTGGCATCGAGCCCCACATCAGGTTCCCTGCTCCGCGGGAAGACTGCTTCTCCCTCTGCCACTCCCCCTGCTTGTGTTCCCTCTCTCTGCCAAATAAGTAAATAAAATCTTTTAAAAAAAGTATGAGCTATTTGAGATAAAAGGGAGCTCCAGTTTGGGACTGTCCTGCTGGGTGAGCTGATAAAGGGTGAAGCTCAAATACCAAAATCTCTGGCACAGAAGGAAGGACAGGGTAACCTCAAGAAGACCCTGCTCAGCGCCTGGCTGGGGAGGAGGAGTTGATGAAATTATGATCCTAAATTTTCATTTTCCTTTTATTTTTTTTAAAGATTTTTATTTATTTGTCAGAGAGAGAGAGAGCACAAGCAGGGGGAGCAGCAGAGGGAGAGGGAGAAGCAGGCTCCTCACTGAGCAAGAAGCCAGATGCAGGACTCCATCCCAGGACCCTGGGATCATGACCTGAGCCGAAGGCAGTTGCTTAACCGACTGAGCCACCCAGGTGCCCTGTAATTCCCATTTTTATAGAGGAACAGCCTTAAACTCAGAAAGGGTAAGTGACTTGCTCATGGCTGCTGCTCGTTAGTGGCACAGCTGGGACTAGACCCCCAGGTCTCCTGGCTTCCAGTCCTTGTTCTTTCTGCTACCAGAGTAGACTCAGGAAGAAAATCCTGCAGTCTCCCTTTTCCTAAGTGCGGTGAAGGAGGGCACCTGGGTGGCTCAGTTGGTTAAGGGGCCTACTCTTGATTTCAGCTTAGGTCTCCATCTCAGGATCTCAGGGTCATGAGTTCCAGCCCCTAGTTAGGCTCCACTGGAGGCATGGGGCCTACTTTAAACAAAACAAAACAATTAACAGACAAGCAAAACACCCCTAAGTGCTGTGGGTGGAGCTCTCTCCCTGAGCTCGCTGGTGGCTCTCTCTCGGGTTTCCAGGGCCCTGGGTCTGTGAGCGCTCTGTGTCTGGCACTGCCTCTATACAGCCCTTGAAAATGCTGAGACTCAGCTTCTGTCATCACTTCATCATCTCTTTTGACTCCTTGTTTACAGTTGCATATGGTTCCTAGAACTAGAGAAAGGCCCTACTTCCAACCAGTCTGACCAGTTCTGTCATTGTCCTTATGTACGACATTCATAAATGTTGGAAGAGACTGTGTTTCTCTTAAGTAAAGTGAACCTTTCACTTCTGTAGAGGGGAGAAAGGCTGCGGGTGACAGGGGCCAGACATCCCTGCATTTCTGTGGTGATGGGAAGGAGTCTCACTCCTCACTAGCAGTGAGGATGGGGAAGGAAACTTGGAGTTTCTCGATAGGTTCCTTGAGCCAGAATTTGCCTTAAGTTCATCTCACCCTTATTCCCAAACCCAAAGCTCCTCATTTCCCTCCTGCTGGTGCTAAGAGAACACTTTCCTGGAGCTTTTAAGAACACTCACTTGGGTTTTGCTGCCCTTATATCTGCACATTCACCAGCTCTGGCTTCTGACTCCCTGCACATTCTGGGCCTGGGGCTGCTGGGGGCTTCCGTCTGGGGAAGAAAATGATAGGTGGTGACAATGGTCCAGACCAGCACAGCCGGGGAGCAGGTGGGGAGGGAAAGTGCTCTGAATAGGAAGACACTGAGAGAGGAAAGATAGAGTTCTGTCCTGGAGAGGCTCAGGTACAATCAAGGAGAGAAACACCTCAAATAATCTGGCAACAAATTGGAGGTGTCTGTTCAGTGGGGAGACTATTTCTACCCCACAAAGAAAGGAGTACTAACCCCTTCCAGGAAACTAATCCGGGCAGATTAATTTTAAATTTGAGATGCTAACATATTAAGGTGAATATCTGCTTGAAGGCAGAAATGGCCATATCCAGTGATTCTTTCAAGGAGGCTAATGCTAATTTCCAGAAAATTCTTCAAAACAAACAAGCTTCAGGAATTCTGCATTCTCAGTGGACAGGTAAGCCCATCTCCATGTCCCAGCTTCTCCTTAATCCTACAGCTGCAAGTGTCCCCTCAAAATCATAGTGTCTTCTGCCTTGCTGATCCTCTCCTGCCTCTCTCAGGGGTAAATTCTTCCTTCAATCTTGAAGCCGATAGCACCCCCAGCCCAGTACTACCCCACGTCAAAACAGATCAGTCCTCCACACCTAAAGGAGTCCTTCACTGAACAGATTACCTGAGAATCATCCCGGTTCTTTCTTTCCAAGTGCTACCTCATCAGCGTTTGCACTTCGAGCTTTCTAACTGAAAGGAAAGGCCACTCCCAATCCCCACTCTTGTCTTCTTAGACTGATTCAGCCCTCACAGAGCAAGTGGGAACACTAAGAGGGTGCTGAATCTATCCACCATCACGGAAAACACTTCCCTATTGCTTTTGGGACTCAATCATAAATGTGGGATGGCCCTCCACCTGCATGATTCATGGTTCATGTTGGAGGGTCCTACAAAGAAGGCACAGAGTGAAAACCTACCTCCTGAGGACGAGACAGGGGCACACTTGGAAGCATCTCAAAACATTGCCAGGAGTCACTTCCTAGGGGACAAGCCGCATAATACCTTTGCAAATCCTTCAGCAAATCCATGGATACGTTGAGTTGCTTCAGGGCTTACATAAGTGTGGGTAAGAAGAGGTCTTCTTGGCCTTCTGCCTCCAAGCTTATCTCCCTTCTCACTCTCTTACTGTCTTCTTAATTAACAATAAAGAAGGAGTTGTTCATCTGAAGCACAGAGTATCACAGAGCATGTTCTACTAAAGAATAGGGTGACTGTACTTTAAAGGTCATAACTGCTATCTGCCATTTTCTAGTTTCTTCTAGAGACAAGTCTGGGCAGGGCCTACACCCGGGATCACTTTCCTTCCTTTTCCACCCTCCGTGAGTCTTCAGCTGGGTGGATAATGGGGCCAGGGCACCTGATTTAGCCCCAGCCCCACTATCAGCTCCCTGTGTCCCAAGGCAAGTCTACAGCCCTCCTTGGAGCACAGTTTTTTAATCTGTAAAATGAGAGGGATGGGTTTGGTAATTTCCAAGTCTCCTTACACTGATGACTATCTAGAGGAGCATCCGTTCTCTTTCTAGCAGTGCTGGCCAGGGGCATGTGGTTTTTGGCTACATGTGAGTAGGCATCTCTAGAATAGTCACCTCATTGAGATCTGGTTTAGTTCAGACTTCTTCCCTCTGAGCCCTGGGTCATCCAGGCAACTTGGAGCACCCTTCTAGGGAAGATTCTCTTCTCAGGCAACTTCAGACAGCCTCTGAGAGTCAAAGCTGCAGCTCGCTTCCGCCAGGGCTTGTTAGGCTTCCTGGACCCTGACAGCCCATAAGATTTTCGTTTGGCTCCGATGCCACAGAGGGGAGAGACGAATGCTGAGGCAAGATTAGGGCAGCAAACAAGAGAACGCAAGAGTGGGACCTGGAATTTTCTGAGTGTCATTAGAAACATGCCTAATAGAGGTTGGGGGGTGCTTGGCTGGCTCAGTCCATAGAGCATGAGACTCTTGATCTTGGGAGTTGTAAGTTCAAGACCCACATTGGGTGTAGAGATTACTTAAAAATAAAACCTTTAAAAAAAAATAGAGGTTGAGAGCTGGGCCCTGCTTCAGGCCAGCATGTTTGGCAGCCTCTCTTCCCCACCTCCCTCAAACTCCTCCTTCCCTCCCATAAACACCACTGAACAATTATTTAAGGGGAGGGCTGTCCGATAATGTTGTATGTTATAGCATAGAGACAAAATCTGTATGTGCATATGGCTAGATACACATGTGATCATGTATATAGACCTGTGAAATTAAGGAGCATCAGGGCAAGGAGCCCCATTTGTGATCTGGCTCCAAGACCTTCATCTTAAAGATGGAGAAACTGAGGCATGAAACCAAGTATGGAGTGAAGAAAACCAAGTCTGTGGATTCCTTGAGTGTGTACTTTTATGCTTTGCCTGCAAATTTTCGTTCTTTTTTTTTTTAATTTCTAAAAATGATCAGAATAGGAAAATATATCTTTTCTATCTATGATTCTCTGAATTTTAACACACATATAGAATTGTTACCAGATATAGCCAAACTATGGAAAGAGCCTAGATGTCCATCAACAGATGAATGGATAAAGAAGATGTGGTATATATATACAATGGAATATTATGCAGCTATCAAAAAATGAAATCTTGCCATTTGCAATGACATGGACGGAACTAGAGGGTATTATGCTAAGTGAAATAAGTCAATCAGAGAAAGACAAGTATCATATGATCTCACTGATATGAGGAATTTGAGAAACAAGGCAGGGGATCATAGGGGAAGGGAGGGAAAAATGAAACAAGGTGAAACCAGAGAGGGAGACAAACCATAAGAGACTCTTGAATCAGAAAACAAAATGAGGGTTGCTGGAGTGCAGGGGAGTGGGAGGGATGGGGTGGCTGGGTGATGGACATTGGGGAGGGCATGTGCTATGGTGAGCGTTCTGTAAGACTGATGAATCACAGACCTGTACCCCTGAAACAAATAATACATTATATGTTAATAAAAAAACAAATTAAGGGACGCCTGGGTGGCTCAGATGGTTGGGCATCTGCCTTCGGCTCAGGTCGTGATCCCAGGGACCTGGGATCGAGCCCCGCATCGGGCTCCCTGCTTGCTGGGACGCCTGCCTCTCCCTCTCCCTCTACTGTTCCCCCTGCTTGTGCTCTCTCACTCTCTCAGTCAAATAAATAAAATCTTAAAAAAAAAAAAAAAAGCAAAAACAAATTAGAAA